GTTGAAAAGATTTCAGAGGAGAGAGTGTAATGAAGAGGTGCTACTGAAGCTCTATGTTTCATTAGGAACCCAAGGGACAAATAATAATAATAATAATAACTATCGAACTAACCTGACGATTAGAGCAAGCGCTTTGAGTATCATCATTGTGCAATGATACGATCCTAGGGTACAATGATATAAACGAACTATTTTGATAAGCACACAACTAATAGCTATTATCATGGTTTCTCTTAACCTTAAATTATCACTGAAGCATTATTACTTGTTGGTACTTGTTATTCACCGTTGTTATACTGAATTAAATCGATCGATTTGTGCTGACATATGGGTTATTATGTGAACGCCTAGATATTGCCTAAATGTTTGTTGTATTTGACTTGGTCATAGATTATATCATTGAACATTTACGTATACACATTTTACTGAACTATTTTACGTGAAAGTTATATTCAGTAAACGCGCTAAAGGTATTTTTTTTATGACGACATATTCCAAAAGTAATCATTAGCTAGGATTATTTATAGTAATAGTAATATCATAAAAGGATAATTGGTGAAACTGTCTTGTCTTGTGATACAAATTTAAAGTAAATTGGTTGACCTTCATTATGCATGTTAAAATAATACAAACTTCAGATATTTACCAGACCAAAAGTAACTTTTTGTAGGCTCAACAATTCACATTTGTATTCCACTTATGAGAAATAAGAATGAAGATACTTATCTGTGTACACTTACAATTTCAGAAAGGAAAGTGGGCTATTATTCATGATTGCTAGTACCTGAATAGTTTTTGATTTCATTTGAGTTACTCATTTCGTTTCAAGGGAAACACCGGGTATAACATCTATGATCTAAAGTGTTCTGCTGTGGATCCATTCATCATTCACATGATAGTTTTACTATCTTCTATGTAATATCGTGTATGATACAGCTGCAGTCGTCTTCCCATTCACTGTAAGATACCAACGACTGAAACTATATGTTCGTATCATTAAGATTGCTACTGATAAACAATGTCGAACAAAATACATAATAAAGGCTATTATTATCAACTAATTATGTAATGTAGTTTAAGGTTCATGGGGCTCTTATTTTTAGGGTAATATTAATCACCGTGTTACATCAATTGAAGGACCACTGAAAACCCAAGAGCACTGGACAGCTGTTTCGTTTTAGTATGGGGTCCTTGAACAGTACGCGCTCTTGACCCCACTAGGGATCCACTCCAAGTTCTCAGTGGTTCTCCAACTTATGTCATCTTGTGATAAAGACTACCTTAAAATAGAAGGGACCTCCATAAACTCTGAAACTACATTACTGCATTGTGCTTATTAGTGATATGCATGTCAAGATGGATATCCTGAGGTTCTAATGAAGAGCTGTGACCGGTAGGATCAAGTAACCTGGAGTAAGATGGATGCTAACTGAAGATCTTGGTGTAAAGTCACATCGTACAGCGAACTGACAAAAGTATAAACCAATGAACTTCGATCCAGCGGCAGGATCGATTCTTGCTGAAGTGTTATGACAGGTACGTACTGCTGATGATGAAACAGCTACTGGTGCTACCTGTTTTTTAACAGTTCTTCAAATGATCTCTATCCGAGGTGACTACTACATTAAAATTACTTGTATTTACCTGCATAATTAAAAGTTACTTATCAAAGTCTCATTTCACAGGATCGTATATAATAGAATTCACCCACATTCTCAGAAACCTTTGGTCTAGACTTCTGAATGCCTTCGCTCAGAATATTTCCGTCAAAGTGTAGAATGTCTATAAACCTGTTAGGCATGGTTCGCTGAAATATTTTGATAATCAGTATCACAACTATTCACAATCTTTGATCTATGAATATTCCTATGTTGCAATTTATTTCACAGATCTATTAATCTAGTAAGACAAAACATTCAAAAGCCTAGAAGGATTGAACACCTCAGGCACGCCCTAAGTATCCTTTATTAAATATTGAAGCACTGAATAACATTATAGTCCAAGAGTAGTTTTACATAAATTTGCTGTTTTACAATAAACGTTAAACGCTGCAAATAAGTGATGCCAAAATCATGACTATTCGTTAAGATGGCCGTTTTTCGAGATTGACCGATTTGTAGTCAGTTATTAGTATGGGATGACATTATTTGGAGAACTATTGAAACCTAGGAGCATTAAACACTTGTTTCATCTCATTGAGTGACTCTTCATTACTATATGAACATCATACAATGCAGGATCAAGCTCAGAACTACCAGTATTCGAAGGATTACTCTACTGTTTAGTTACTTGCTTACGGCTCAGTGGCTCATACCTCCATACTTCTGTTAATTTACAAAACCTTTTCAGTAGTTTTAAACATGAGTAACCACAATAAATAAGGTTCTTAAGATTAATCACTGTAAATCAAGTCCAATCATCTGAAAATGTTAGTTTCTATGTCTTTCTTATCAATTAATCTATGCCTGAAATATTGATCTACGACCGGAACAGGCAGGCTTCAGGAAGTACAAATCATGTGCCGACCAAATTGCAATGCTACGCTACGCATCATCATAGAACAGAGCATAGAATGGCAGTCAACTCAACTCAACCTCAACTTCATCGACTTTGAGAAGGCCTTTGACAGCGTCGACCGACAAGTAAATTGCCAGGCAGTTGCTTCAACACTACGGAATACTACAAACCTTTATCAATCTCACTCAAAAACTATATGAAGACGCTACATGCCAAGCAATTCAAAATGGGAAGCTCAGTGATGCTTTTGAAGTGAAGACAGGAGTGAAACAAGGCTGCCTACTATCGCACATGATCTTCGTGATTGCAGTGGACTGGATCATACAGCAAACTATGAGGAACGAGAAGAGAGGGATACGCTGGCTGGACCACGGAAAAGATCCTAGAAGATTTGCATTCCACCCATGGTGATTTATGTCTAATGTCACACACACTTGAAGATGTACAGGCGAAAACTAACAAGTTAACAGAAGAGGCTGGGACGCGAATGCTGAACTTCAGGTGAACGTAGAGAAGACATTGGTGACGAAGATACCCAACCAACATCACCATCAACAACAAGCTCCAATAAGCATGAACGGGAAAAACTTAAAGGAAGTAGTCTTTTTCACGTACCTAGGCAAGGCAGCATCGTTTCAACTACAGGTGGCGGCACAGACAAAGGCGTCAAATCAGCCAGGATCGTTCACTAACTTGAAATCAGTGTGGAGATCTTCTACGCTCAGCATAAAGAACAACATCCAGATTTTCAACACTAATGTCAGTCAAGTCAGTGCTTCTCTATGATGGTTGAGAGAATTGGCGCGTTATGAAAAGCATTTCCAACGAACTACAGATATTTATCAACAACTGCCTACCCCGGCTCGTTACTGAAACTCAGATGGTCAGAGAGAATAAGCAACAAGGAACTCTGGCCTGGTAAGAAAGCAACCAAGAAGCTATCGTTGAACAAATATGCCGAAGAAAGTAAAGATGAATTGGACTGGGCATGCATTGAGAAGAGCATTCAGGGATATTACGCTCCAGGCCAGGCACTCGAGTAGAACCCAGATGAGAAACGACGAGTTGGATATCCGAGGTGAGGGTGACATTGAGGAGATGGTTTAAGGTAGAAATACGAGCTTGTAGGTAGTCATGGAGCCAGGTTCAAAAGATTGCGGAGAACATAGCGGAATGGAGACGTACTACTATAGCCCCAAGGGACAAATAGTAATAAATAATATTATGTTGATATCTTATAATTTTATCGACAAATAATCTAATCTCATTAGATTCATTGTCATTCTTTCCTAATAAACTCAATTAGTCTAGAAATATTTTACAAAACAATATGATCATAAGCACTATAAACTTACCATTGTCACAAATGATTATATAATCAATAGTGAACATTGAATTGTATCTACCTATTTTAAAACGTCTTACTGAACATTCATTTATTAAGAAGGATAAATATTAGATAAATGAAAAAAAACTAGGTAGTAATTTCCCAAAAGTGTAACAAAATAAAAATATATTCCATTCAAGACAATTATCTATGACAATATTCTGTCAAAGATGATTATTATTATCTCTAATGCGTATTGAAAGGTTACCAGTCTAAGAATTATATTCATCATAAACTAACTTATTCGATTACAAGTTGTTATTCATCGAAGACTGACATCAGTTGCAGGAACAAAGGAAACCTGAGAGCACTGGACAGCTGTTTCGTCACACTAGTATGGGACTCCTCAGCAGTGCGCACCCACGACCCCACCAGCAGAGATCGAACCCGCGACCTTCAGGTTCCGCGACCAGCGCGTTACCATTGACCCACTGGGTCACAATCCAATCCTCCATATTTCCAACTTCTGTTAGCTCACTAACTTGAAATAATTCCAAATCTCCACAACTCCCTCAAAATTTAATTGAACTGGTGCTCATTGGTGACTAGCTTCGAGAGGTTTTCCTGAAGTTCCAATGAGAAGTCGTGACCAGTGGAGTCAAAGCCTGATGGCCATGAGGACATATACTCAACGATGACATTGGGTGGCGGTTGCGCTATATATCGTGAGCTAACAGAAGTTGGAAATATGGAGCATTGGATTATGACCCAGTGGCTCAATGGTAACGCGCTGGCCGCGGAACCTGAAGGTCGCGGGTTCGATCTCTGCTGGTGTGTGGTCGTGGGTGCGCACTGCTGAGGAGTCCCATACTAGTGGGACGAAACAGTTGTCCAGTGCTCTCAGGTTTCCTTTGTTCCTGCAACTGATGTCAGTCTTCGATGAATAACAACTTGAAATATTTCCAAATCTCCACAACCCCCTCAAAATTTAATTTATTCGATTACACTGAATCTCTGGCTTTATAATGAAAAACAAACAGAAAATTAGTGATCAATTAGTAAAACCTTAATGATAATCAATGTTTACTGAAAGAAAAAAAAAATTTTTTTTTTACAATATTTATAAAACCATAATGATAAAGAAAATGAGATTCACCTTTTTTCTAATGTTTTCAATGTATGTACAATATTGATATTTTGTTGCATAAATGATGAAATCTCTGCAAATTGACGTTTCAATTGATTAAATTTTGTTTGTAATTCCACTTTCACTAAATTATCTACAATTATATTATCTGAGCATAGAATCTATGAAGAGAAAAGATAAAGAATAACTTTTCCTTTTTTTCAATCTGAACAAGCAATAACACTAAATTTTTATGTCATTAAAAATTACTTTCAAATTAAAAGTAGTATACACTATTTACATGCTTATAAGATAAACAGTAACATATCAAATCATAATGTTTAGTACAGAATAATCAATATATGGATATGATCGTAAAGTCTATAAAATATTTAATGCTAATCTGTTTATGATTTATTTTCAATGATTACTTGAAATTGATCTTCTGTTTACTATCAGTCAGATGATAGGCGACAGACTCAAATATGAGATGACAGACAATTTTCTTTATTCATTCTTCGTCTGTTTTGATACACACATATTGGGAATCAGTATATACAGGCTAGATTTCACCGATGATATATATGTCGAGTGTCACAGGGGATCTACAGGTGAAAATTAACAAGTTGACAGAAGAGTCAGCGAATCAACGAACACAAGACTTCAAGTGAATCTAGAGAAGACACAGATGATGAAGATACTCAAACAACAACAACAACAACAACTAGCTCTAATCACCATCAACACGAGAAACTTAAAGGAAGTAGCCTCCTTCACCCAACACATACGCACCACTCTTTCAACCACACGCGACACTGGCACACATGAGGATGTCAAAGCCAGCCAGGGTCACAAAAGTAGCAAGATAGGCCTTCCTCCACTTACCTGAAACCAGTGTGCAGATCTACTGCACTGCACTCAGCACTCAGCATAAAGCGTGAACAACATCCAGATTCTCAACACAGATTCAGTCAAGTGAGCCAGTGCAGTGCTTCTGTATGATGGTTGAGAGACTCGGTGGCGCATCATGAAATGGATTTCCAACGAACTACAGATATTCATCAACAACTGCCACCTACACTGGCTCGATACTGAAGATCAGACAGATGGCCATAATGGTAAGAATAAGCAACAAGGAACTCATTGTGGCTGGCTGTCAACAAACCAACGAAGAAGCAATCACTGAACAAATATATAGAAGGAAGTGGAATGGATCGGATTAGGCATACACTGAGAAGGCTGACTGGGGACATCACGCACCAGACCAACCAGGTCGTCGAGTGGAACGCAGATGGGAAGAGACGAGTTAGGTGTCAGATGTGATGGTGACATGAAGGAGATCATGTGAGAAAGAAATGAGAGTTTGTGGCCTGTCGTGGAGCCAGGTTGAAAAGATTTCAGAGAAGAGAATGTACTGGAGACGTGTTACTGAAGCTCTATGTTCCATTAGGAACCCAAGGGACAAATAATAATAATATACAGTTTAAAACAAGTTGAAAAGAAATATACTATTCAATTTTAGATTGTCTGGATGATCGATTCCAGCCTCTGTCTCATGTCTCAGGCGATTGAAAATGGTCTTATTTAACCCTTTTTTTATTTAAATTATAATGTTGATTATCATCCTCCTAAACAACACCTCTGTCGGCATGCAAAATAAATTTGTCTCCTTTCGTTCTTCAACTCCCTATGGGGCTTCCTATAAGGCCATCTGGTTAAGTTTCTAGCTACAAAAAACTTTGCAGAGATTATATTCCATCAAAGTCTTCTTTTTCAGTTCATTTTAGTCATTTAAATATCTTGTGAACGCATCATTATACTCTGCTATGTTTTCAAAATGTTTCCGAACTCTTGTTTCTCAAGCTAAGAATAAAACAAGGTTAAAACGTTCCACTGGTTGGAAATGAATTTATAAATGCTCAGAAATATGCTACATTACTATGCCTAGGATACTTGTATGGGATTGTGAGTTTCTGTGCTGTCTGGCTAAACTGCCACCATCTAAGTTATATTCCATTTTGTGTTAATTTTCTAGTCGAGAACAGATGATAATGTAACACTAGCTGCACGTTTCGCCGATGACTTATGCCTAATGTCACACAAACTTGAAGATCTACAGGCAAAAACTAACAAGTTGGGAGAAGAGGCAGCTAAGACGGGACTTCAGGTGAATATAGAGAAGACAGAAGTGATGAAGATACCGCACCACCACCATCATCAGCAACAACAACAAACTCCAATCACCATCAACGGGAGAAACTTGAAGGAAGTAACCTCCTTCACTTATCTAGGAAGCACTGTTTCAACTACAGGCGGGACGGACGAGGATGTCAAAGTCAGAATCGGAAAAGCAAGACAGGCGTTGATTAGCCTGAAACCAGTGTGGAGATCTTCTGCACTCAGCATGCGGAACAAGATACGGATTTTCAACACCAACGTCAAGTCAGTGCTCTTGTATGGCTCAGAGACTTGGCGCGTCACGAAAGGGATTTCCAATAAACTACAGACATTCATCAACAACTGCCACTTACGCTCGCTACTGAAGATCAGATGGCCAGAAAAAATAAGCAACAAGGAACTCTGGGAACGAACCAACCAAGAACCTATCACGCAACAAATATGCAGGAGGAAGTGGAGATGGATTGGCCATGCACTGAGAAGGCCGACTGAGGACATCACGCGCCAGGCCAGTTGCTTGAGTGGAATCCCCATGGGAAGCGACGAGTTGGGCGTCGGTGTCGAGGGTGACATGGAGGAGGTCGTGCGAGCAGGAAATGAGAGCTTGTGGGCTGTCGTGGGACCAGGTTCAAACGATCTCAGAGAACAGAGTTCACTGGAGGCGTGCTACTGAAGCCCTATGTTCCACTAGGAACCCAAGGGACTAATAATAATAAAAAATAGCTGCACGTTTCACTCTTTTGCTTTCAATACTGTTATTATTAATGGCATACAGATATAATAATTATTTCTTTTGAAAATAGTTTACGGCAAATGAACTTATTGAAATATTCCATGCTGAAAATTCCATACTGTATCGTACATGTTGTTTCGAATAAAGCGATTATTATTATTAATGTTATTGTTATTGTCTCCCGGATATTCCATCATTTGGAAAACTAGTGAAAAACTGGGAGGAATGGACAGCTATTTTGTCCTGATATGAGACTTCTTGGTAGTGCAAACCCTTGACCTTAAAGTACTGAGTTCTATGCATGGCAAGGTAATGGGTGTTTAATGCTGAGGAATCATATAGAAGAACAAATCACTTGTCCAGTGCTCTCAGATTTTCAGTGTTTCTTCAATTGACTTCAGCCTGTTTTGAATACTACCTTCAAATAAATAAAATCTGTATAAAATTCAAATTAAATTCCAGGATATTACTTCAATTTACTAGTGTACAACAAAACGTATTATCACTTCTCTCAACTACAATCACTCATTTTTTGTAATATCAATTGAGTAACATCAGTGTTATCGTCTCATCAAAGTGATAATTTCCTGTCAAACTGGATCACGTGTTTAAACATTATGGTATATTTTGATAATGAAACTATTTTAGGTTATAAGTTGGTAATGAGAAGTCTTCAAGTAGAAGACACATCTACATTTATCTGTTGAAATTATTGTTTACCGAACTGTATAAAATCTGATATCCGGTAACCGGATATTTTTGGTAGCAAGTGAGTAACTGAATACATCACTTACTGTCTAATAACATGCCTAATGACAATACTAGTCAACAACATAATAAAATAATGAACGATTAAAATAACTATGAAGATTTCTAAAGTCTGACATCGAAAATCACTGACATCAACAGTTGAATACATTTCCTTTTTCATATGGAATGTTATTTACCAACCTCCAGAACATTATCTACTTATTATAATTGTTTTTATATGATACCGTCGTTGATTGGACTGAATTGATCGGTCTCTATTAGCATATGGGATCCTGTACGGATGCCTCGATATTGCCTGCGTTCTAAATATATTAATGATGGATCTTAGCTAGCAGTGGACTCCAGAATGCGCATTTCGTCCTGTTTTGGACTCGTCAGCTGGATATGCCTGCTTCCTGACGACGGTACGATATATAAAAAACAGTCGTATACTAAAAAGTAGACCCGTCGTACAAGAAGTGGCTATCGTGGCTCTTTGGTGTAGTGGATAACGCGATGGCGTTTGAAGCGATCGCTCCCGATTCCGAGTTCTGGCGGAACAACACCACTCACTGGGAAGCAGGTACATCCAGCTGACTGGTGAGTCCCAAATAGGACGAAATGTGAATCCTGGATTCCACTGCTAGCGACGATCCATCATTAATTATCCATTTATTGCAAAATTATTTAACTGTCTACGCTGGCTTTTGTTAGAAATTAATAAACATCTAGTATCAGTTTGACTATCTGATATATTCGTGGTTTAGTAGACTTGTATTGATACTGTAGGATGACTGGAGGTGAAATGAAAGTCTGGTCAGCTATCGGATCTTGTAGCTCAGTTGGTGGAGTACCAAGATGAAAAACTCGTGACAGCTAGTTCAAACCCTATTACGACTCAATTTTTCATTTCGTTTTCAACCACCACTTATTATCGATATTGAGTGTCACCTGTTCTTCTTTTTTTCATTCTAGAAGAAAGGTTTTTATTATGGTATATGTGCGGTGTGTTTCTTGTAACGAATGACAACATCGCTGATAACAGCATCCTACTTCATGATGACTAACTGTTATGTGAAGACGAACCCTCAAACTAAAAGACTAAAAACTCATATTCTTAGTATTAAGTACCTTCAGTCTGCCTGGTATGTGTAATTTTTTTAAAAGTTCAGCATTTCATGTATGTTTCGCAGTGTGCTGTATTGATCACCGTCGTTAGATAAATCATCATATAATTTGAAACAAATTATTTGTGTTAACAGAGATGCGTAATATAGGAAAAAATGTAAGTTGAAGTCACCCTATATTCAACATTTGGAATTATTGTAGATATGGGTATTATTCTTTACCAAGGCAAAAGGTATTACCTTTTGTTAGCTAAACTGTTTATCCTAGCTTTTATATAAAAGAATATTTTCTTCTGGTCCACGTTACGAACCTATTTTTAGTTAAAGAATTATACTACTTAATTAAAAGTTTAAGTAGCTAAACTTACAGGACAAAATACAAAGACTTTGTAAA